TGTCGAAAGCCACAACGAAGGTCACAGCAAGTAAGCTTCTGAAGGAACTGGTATGTAGATATGGAGTACCTGAAGTGATTGAAAGTGACAGAGGTAGCCATTTCACTGGGGAAATAATGCAAGAAATTATGAAAGCCTTAGGGATCAGTCAGGCCTTCCACACCCCCTATCACCCCCAGAGTAGTGGGAAAGTAGAAAGGGCAAATGGCACCTTAGAGAACAAGATTGCAAAAGCCATGCAAGACACAGGGAAGCCCTGGACTGAATGCCTTCCCCTAGCACTCTTTTCTATGAGATTCACCCCCAATTCCAGACATGGCCTATCCCCTTTTGAGATCCTGTTTGGATGTGCCCCAAAGACAGGTCTCTATTTTCCCCAAACCCTCCAGATGCAGCATGGTAGTATGACTGCCTATGTTCAGGCCCTACACCAAAGATTAGACAGGGTGCATAAAGAAGTCTTTGATTCTATTCCAGATCCAGACTCTGATTCTGCAACTCACAAACTGCAACCTGGTGATTGGGTGGTGATAAAGAGGCATGTGAGGAAAGGACTTGAACCACGCTTTGACGGTCCATTCCAAGTGCTCTTGACAATGGCTACCTTGGTGAAACTAGAAGGAAAAGCCAAGTGGATACACGCCAGTCACTGTAAACAAGTCACTCCGACGGATCCACCGACATGAAGCTGTTCTTATCCTTTACCATTTTATGCTGTGTTCGGATATGCTACTCTGACTTGAGACCAGAAAATAATAATGCATGGCAGGAAAATATATGGTTGCAGATAGCAAAGGCTTTTAATTTAACCTCCTTTTGCCTCAACCATCTCCTCAGTACTGAAAACGCCATAGAATCTTGTCTTATAGCTGTCCCTACCCCCATCTCACTGTTGAGGAAGTACCTACATACCCATAGACCCCATAAATCTCTACAACTATATTCTTATGCCTTCAACCCACTGGTAGGCAAGCCTCCTACAGCCCTGAAGACAATTAATGTGACAGGCGCTGAACTATGTTGGTCTTTTTCATGTAATTGTTCAAGAGACCCTAATACTGAATCCCTGTTTTGCCCCACATGGTGGAAAAATACCACGAATTGTAGAGCCCTGAGCACCACTATGAATTGTACCAAAACTCACCAAGTTATGAGTTACCACTACAATGTCTATCTTCCTAAAGGATGGACTTTCTCCTGTGGAAATATTACTTATGCTTATGTCCCAGGTAACATTACAGGAGGTCCCTGTGCAATCTCTCGCCTAACCATGACCATGTTTTCCAAATCTGACCTGATCACTAAAACCACCCAGCTACACATACTGCTGAGAGACAGGAGAGATGTTAAAAACACTCTTAATGCAGATTGTAACCCTGAAATCACTCTCTTATCTAAAGCCGAATACTCTGCCCTAGCGTACACCTTGGTAGGAGTCCCAGGCTTAACATTGTATAATACCCGAGTAGTTAATGCTGTAGCCTGTTCCCTTGCAAAAGGCTTAAATGCCACTTCAAAGGCCCTAGCTACTTATGGACAACCAGGCAAATAAGAAGGCAATCCTTGAGAATAGAGCAGCCATTGACTACTTACTAATGAAACATGACTTAGGCTGTGAAGCTATTGAAGGTATGTGCTGTTTTAACCTATCTGACCATGGCACTATGATCCATAAACATATAAAAGATTAACATGACTTAGTACAGGATATCAAACAGGATACTGGCTTCTTTGGGGATTGGGATTGGACATTTGGGCTAGGAACATGGTTGACTTTACTAATTAAGAACATTTTGTACATTTTGCTATTAGCTGTATTTGTCATTATGGCTATTTTTCTAACCTTTAGATTTTTTTCATGTCTACTAACCTCTCTATGTAAAAGCAAACCTACTGTTGGTCGTACCTTAACTTACATTCCAGCTCCGACTTAGGAAAGGTTTTATGATGTTACCTCGCCTAACAAATGAAGGAACTCTCCTCCGCTGATTATGGTGGTCTCTCAGTCCAAGGGAACCGTGGTGAAGCAATAAATGAAAGTCCCACAGGCTTTGGCTAGTAGGCCTGGATATACCTTGGACATTTGGGTGAGCCTTGGATCAAAAGAGGGGATTGTGATAGAATTTATCTGGATTCCAAGGCTCAAGCTTAAAGGTGTCATATAATGATATCCTATATTAAAATTGGCTAACTTGGACTCAGGAAATGCTTAATGCTTAAACAACACTTAATACCATATATGTCTAAGTTCTGGGAGCAGAGAGCCCCCACCTAAGATGTCTCTGCTCTAATCTTTTTGTTCTCTCTTACCTTGAAACTTATTTGTTATGTGTACATGACGCTCATCCCTATGTCTTATCTGTACTCTCTTCCTATTAATGTTCTAAGAGTATTTGCACGTAAGCACTTACTTTTTAATGTATAAAACCCAGCTGATGAATAAAACATCAGAGGCTTATTTTGAAAACCAACACGTGTCTAGTGTCTAATTCTCGCTTCTCCAAGTGCACTTGTAACAACAATTTGAGCTTCCTCTGAATATAACAAAGATCAACATTCTGATCCACAACACGTCTCTCATCCCGTAGAGAAGCAGGAAGGAATACACGAAGGAAGTGTAGCACCCAAAATGTCCTTGGAGTATGAAAACGGGGGGGAAAATAAAGAACTGATAGTGAAGTATGTCATAGATAAAAGCTACATAAAGGGTTAAAGCCTTTGCCTTAGTTAAGTTCTTCCACGTTTGCAGGAGTTAAAAGCTAAATTCTTCACTATGTCAGCAGTTTCTGCAGATGTTTCTTCCTATTAACCTTGTAGATAAGACTTTTAAGTAAGTCATTGTTGCTTGTTTTTCATGCGCAGTAGACTAATGCCATTTTATATATGCGATGCTCTCTCATTAAAGATATAAATAGATTTTTTAACTACAGTGAAGAGTCTGTGGTTTTATTATTGCTTCTCCCGAGCGCTCGAACACCTAATTAGGAGCCCATTGTTATCTCTCTGGGATGATTTTATCCATCATAAATTTCTATATCAAGTACATAAAAATTCCAATAAATAACAAGTAAAAGTAAATACACTCACACTTTTCAGGAGCTAATGTGTAGCTCCAACTTGAGCGTCTGGGCAGAATGTTCCCCACCTACAGATATAGTGGGGTATGAACTCTTCTAGTGGGTTCTTGTGGTGGTGGTGGCTCTTGTAGATATATAGGAGAGGTAAAAATTATAGTGCAGTATATCCAGTATAAATATAAGGAAAAAGTCAATAATAAATATGCCCTCACGTGTTCTGGAGCCTAGATAGAGGCTCTGCAGGATAGGCGTGAAGTGGTACAATCCCCACTCTTGGATATGGGGTTGGTGGTATTTCTCCGATGATATAAGTGGAAGAGAAAAATAAACCAAAATAGAGTACACCATATGGAGTGCCAAATAAAATAAAGATGGGCAAATTCTATTCACGTTTAGTAGAGCAAATAAGGCTTGCTCTGTCCCACAGGCATAGGTAGTATTATCCCCACCAAGCATATGGTGTTCAGGAAATCCAGCAGCAAAGAAGTCCAATCAAAAAGCACTTTTATTGATAAAAGAGGATACAACATAAAAAGTAACATAATAAAATGGCTGTATAAAACAATATAAAAGATACACTTAACACTTAACGTGTTTCACCAATTCAATGGCTTTATCTAAACAACTAATCAATTAAGATTAAGAATTATACAATGTAATAAGTTCATAGAGGTGGGTTTGTGGTGCAGGTGCATACACACTACATCCCCACATTCAATGATAGGCAATAGCATTTATTGCACAATCTGTTTCCTCATTGGTTGGCTTAGGCAGGATTTGGTTCTGTACAGGGCACCTAGTTTTGCATGTAGTTTTGATAATAGTTTTTCAATGTGAAGGTCAATGGTGTTGCCTGCGTGTATATATATATATATACAGTTGAGGCTTTGCAGACGTTAGGCAGATCATTTACGAATAATGAGAATAGTATGTGTTTTTACCTATTATTGCTGTGATCACCTAACACATTCTTTAAGCAATTGTTTATGAACAGCAACACTAATTCAAGGATTTTACTATTATCATGATGGAAAGTCATGATTTTATTAAAGACACGGAGGCGAGTATTATGCTGCACTCTTTCTTTAATTCCCTCAGCAGCAAAGAAAAAAACAATTGAAAAACAGGTAGAAACATCATAATGACAATGTCCGCCTAGTAACATGACCATCCAATCAGCAACATCCTTATTCTATTGTAGTCGGAACGACGATGACCATTTCCTCTTTTTTGCAATCCCGAAGAAATAACTCAAACTCGGAGCAGGAAAACCGAATAAACCAAACCAGCCAGAACAGGGCATGTGATCCAGAGAGGCATTGCAGCAAAGTCACGCTAAAAGAAACAAGGAAAAACATGGTAATGTCTTGAAATCATAGACTGTCAGCATATTTAGACGCCTAATCACCTGACTAGTCAATGGCAGTAACTCTTAAATGTAATAAGAAGAAACTATCAATCTTAGGATAACAATGACAAGTTTCCTTAATAAAAGTACGCCCTAAAGCAATGCAGGCATGTGATGGCATCACTACTGCCTTATTGAACTTACCATGGAGGACAGGCCATTCAAGAATGAACGAGAGTATTGTAACTTACCTTGTTCCATACCCGAGCCGTCCAAGGGCGGGTGTGTGGGATAATACTCGCCTCCGTGTCTTTAATAAAATCATGACTTTCCGTCATGATAATAGTAAAATCCTTGAATTTTATTAAAGACCTGGAGGCCCCTATTATGCTGGACCCAAGATATCTAAGACCTTATCTAGGCAACTGTAAAGGTAAAAATCCAAACCTTTCTTTGGTTTTCACCCGGTTTTGCCTAAAAATGGAATAATTTTGGGGTTGACTTGGGGAGTCTTGCAGACATCGTTTGGAACAGTGGGGCGTGGGCATTCTGCCCGTAAGTTGTTTTGGGCTGCCTTATCCAGAGGCTTGCGGACCCGGGATGCGACGTATCGCGCCACATGCTCGGCCGGTGACCATTCCGCAGAGCTCAAATAAGGGTTCGCTCTGAGGATCAAGTATTTTACCATCTTTGGTCAAGTCAGAGCCAGAGGTGCCACTGGCATGCACGTCAGTAGAGGGTTTATGATCCTCTTCAAATCTATAGTCCGAATCCAGGTCGGATAAGTCATTAGATAGGTCTGAGTCTAAGGTAAGGGCACTCTCCTCTTCTGAACTGAGTTCTGGTTCAGTGGAATCAGGTTGGCTTTTGCCCTTTTCCAGTGTCTAGCTGCTTTTGCCTGGCTAGAGGCTCTCTTGCGCGGTGGATCAATATTCGCGCCATCTGTGACAGGTTTTGAACTGTCCATCACTAATTTGGAGGAGTGCTTTACTTTAGCCAAGGCCTTGCGGCCGGGGTGTGGGGGATGAGAGGCAGTTGGTATCGTGGCTGACATAGCGGCCGGAGGAAACCGCTAACTGGGCTTGCAATAACACCTGTGTAAAGGATTTAGAAACAGATGAGGACATAATGTCCATGGCAGACACCAGGGCTTTTGACACAGACTTAGAGACAGTAGTGTCCATAATAGCCTGAATTTCCTCAGATGCTTGGAAATCAGCTTCATCCCCAGAAACCACAGGAGGAAAAAACAGGGAAGCTTGGGGATCAGATTGTGCCCTAGATGACCCAGGCAAATTAAAAGGTGATTGCATAGTGCAATTTAAATAATGGAAAAAAGTATTTAAATAGTATTTAAATAGATAGCATTGGGTTAGGCAATTTAAGGTTGGGGAAGGATCCCCGTAGAGTAAAGGAATAGTGTAAAAACCTTTAAAGGTACAATACCAAAATAGAAATGTAAAATCTTAAAAGTACAATGTAGTAAATACAAGCTAAATATAATGATAGCAATCTAGCAGTAAACAGAAATTTAAAACAGAAATACAATTAGCACATCATATAAAATAATCATACGAGGAACCCACAGTCAGAAAACTGTGAGAGGTCTACTTATCTGAGGGAGCAGCAAAGAAAGAGGAAATGGTCATCGATGTTCCGCCTGCTAAAGGAGAAAGATGTTGCCGATTGGATGGTCATGTTACTAGGCGGACATTGTCATTATGCTGTTTATACCTGTTTTTCAATTGTTTTTTTCTTTGCTGCTGAGGGAATTAAAGAAAGAGTGCCGCTTAACCCCTTAAGACCGGAGGGCGTACTATTATGCCCTATTCTAAGCGGCTCTAAATGCCGCCGGGCGTAATAGTACGCCCTCCGGTCTTTCTGTACTTACCCGGTCGCCAGCGATCCCACGCCGGCGATCGCGGTTCGGGGGACTCCCAGGGAGCCCACCGCGGCACCTCCGTCCTCCTGGAAGCCCCCCGGCCATGTGAGAGTGGGGTCCTTGCGAGGACCCCACAATCACATGGCCGGGGGTAGCTGGCTGCAGCATTGCCAGCAGGGGGCTGCCTGTAAACATAGAAACATAGAAACATAGAAACATAGAATGTAACGGCAGATAAGAACCATTCGGCCCATCTAGTCTGCCCAATTTTCTAAATACTTTCATTAGTCCCTGGCCTTATCTTATAGTTAGGATAGCCTTATGCCTATCCCACGCATGCTTAAACTCCTTTACTGTGTTAACCTCTACCACTTCAGCTGGAAGGCTATTCCATGCATCCACTACCCTCTCAGTAAAGTAATACTTCCTGATATTATTTTTAAACCTTTGTCCCTCTAATTTAAGACTATGTCCTCTTGTTGTGGTAGTTTTTCTTCTTTTAAATATAGTCTCCTCCTTTACTGTGTTGATTCCCTTTATGTATTTAAATGTTTCTATCATATCCCCTGTCTCGTCTTTCCTCCAAGCTATACATGTTAAGATCCTTTAACCTTTCCTGGTAAGTTTTATCCCGCAATCCATGAACCAGTTTAGTAGCCCTTCTCTGAACCCTCTCTAAGGTATCAATATCCTTCTGAAGATACGGTCTCCAGTACTGTGTACAATACTCCAAGTGAGGTCTCACCAGTGTTCTGTACAATGGCATGAGCACTTCCCTCTTTCTACTGCTAATACCTCTCCCTATACAACCAAGCATTCTGCTAGCATTTCCTGCTGCTCTATTACATTGTCTGCCTACCTTTAAGTCATCAGAAATAATCACCCCTAAATCCCTTTCCTCATATGTTGAGGTTAGAACTCTATCAAATATTCTGTACTCTGCCCTTGGGTTTTTACGTCCAAGATGCATTATCTTGCACTTATCACATTAAATGTCAGTTGCCACAATTCTGACCATTTTTCTAGTTTACCTAAATCATTTGTCATTTGGCTTATCCCTCCTGGAACATCAACCCTGTTACATATCTTAGTATCATCAGCAAAAAGACATACCTTACCATCAAGACCTTCTGCAATATCACTAATAAAAATATTAAAGAGAATGGGTCCAAGTACAGATCCCTGAGGTACCCCACTGGTGACAAGTCCAAGCTTCGAATATATTCCATTAACTACAACCCTCTGTTGCCTGTCACTCAGCCACTGCCTTACCCATTCAACAATATTTGAATCCAAACTTAAAGATTGCAGTTTATTGATAAACCTTCTATGTGCAACAGTGTCAAAAGCCTTACTGAAATCTAGCTAAACAATGTCTACTGCACCACCCTGATCTATAATTTTAGTTACCCAATCAAAAAATCAATAAGATTAGTTTGGCATGATCTCCCTGAAGTAAACCCATGTTGTCTCTGATCTTGAAATCCATGTGTTTTTAGATGTTCATCAATCCTATCCTTTAACATGGTTTCCATCACTTTCCCCACTACTGAAGTAAGGCTTACTGGCCTATAGTTGCCCGACTCCTCCCTATTACCTTTCTTGTAAATGGGCACAACATTCGCTAACTTCCAATCTTCTGGGACTACTCCTGTTAACAATGATTGGTTAAATAAATCTGTTAATGGTTTTGCTAGTACACCACTAAGCTCTTTTAATAGCTTTGGGTGTATTCCATCAGGTCCCATTGACTTATTTGTCTTTACTTTTGACAGTTGAAATAGAACCTCTTCCTCTGTAAACTCACGTGTAATAAATGACTCATTTATCCTTTTTCTCAACTGAGGTCCCTTTCCTTCATTTTCTTCTGTAAATACAGAACAAAAATATTAATTGAGGCAGTCAGCCTGACCTTTATCCTCTTCTACATACCTTCCTTCTTTTGTTTTTAATCTAACTAATCCTTGTTTTACTTTTCTTTTCTCATTTATGTATCTAAAAAATGTTTTATCCCCCTTTTTTACTGACTGTGCTATTTTCTCTTCTGTGTGTGATTTGGAAGCTCTTATAACTTGCTTAGCCTCTTTCTGCCTAATCTTATAGATCATTTTGTCTCCCTCACTCTGGGTTTTTTTATAATTCCTAAATGCTAACTTTTTGTTTTTAACTATTTTGGCCACATCTGCGGAGTACCACAGTGGTTTCTTGAATTTTTTGCTTTTACTGACAAGCCTAATGCAATTTTCTGTTGCCTTCAATAGTGCAACTTTTAAATAATCCCATTTCTCTTGGACTCCATTTAAATTGCTCCAGTCTGATAATGACTCCTCTACCCATATTCTAATTTTAGAAAAGTCTGCTTTTCTAAAGTCTAAAACTTTTGTTTTTGTGTGGTGTGACTCAGTCATGAGTAATGACAGGTGGTCCCCCTGCTGGCTGAAAATAAAAATGAATAAAATAAATAGTGTAAAAAAGAAAATAATATATACTTAGATCATATATATATATTATATATATATGATCTAAGTATATATATACACATATACATACACACACGTACACCGTCTAGGTGTATTTTACTATTAATATATATATAATTATATATATATATTAATATCAAATTACACGTAGACTGATCCTGATTAAATATATATATAATTATTGTTATATATATATTTATATATAATATAAAAAAATAAAAATGTAAATACGTTAAAAAATAAAATTAAAAAGTAATTAAAAATAAATAATTAAAATATATATAGATGTGTGTTATTTCGTTCTAACTGTATTGTGAAATTAATATATATATATATATATATATATCAAAATACACGTAGAACGAAATAATATATATATCTATATACATAAATATATACGTATATATCACTTTATATAAATAAAAATATTTAAAAAAAATTATATAGATATATACATATATATACACATACGTATATATATACATATATTAATTCTGCATATATATTTATGTAATATTTTTACATAATTAGGTATCTTAATTAATTACAATTAGCCGGACCTGCCTGACAACCCATGCCGAAAGTAAAGGGAATTTAATTTGCTTGCACTATATTTAACCCTATAACTTTCCAAGACACCATAAAACCTGTACATGGGGGGTACTGTTCTACTCGGGAGACTTCGCTGAACACAAATATTAGTGTTTCAAAACAGTAAAATGTATTACAACGATGATATCGCCAGTAAAAGTGGAGTTTTTAGCATTTTTCACGCACAAACAGCACTTACACGGACGATATTATTGCTGTGATACTTTTTACTGTTTTGAAACACAAATATTTGTGTTCAGCTAAGTCTCCCGAGTACAACAATACCCCTCATGTACAGGTTTTATGGTGTTTTCAAAAGTTACAGCGTCAAATATAAGGCTTGCGTTTGGTTTTTTTCACTTTAAAATTCGCCACATTGGTTACGTTGCCTTTGAGACCCTATGGTTGCCCAAGAATGAAAATTACCCCTATGATGGCATACCATTTGCAATAGTAGACAACCCAAGGTATTGCAAACAGGGTATGTCCAGTCTTTTTTAGTAGCCACTTAGTCACAAACACTGGCCAAAATTGGCGTTTTTTGCATTTTCCACACACAAACAAATACTAACGCTAACTTTGGCCAGTGTTTGTGACCAAATGGCTACTAAAAAAGACTGGACATACCCCATTTGCAATACCTTGGGTTGTCTACTATTGCAAATGGTATGCCATTATGGGTGTAAATTTCATTCCTGGGCTACTATACAGTCTCAAAGGCAACGTAACCAATCTGGCGAATTTCAATTTCAAATGTAACGTGCTATATTTGACCCTGTAACTTCCTAAAACGCCATAAAACCTGTACATAGGGGGTACTGTCTTACACGTGAGACTTTACTGAATACAAATATGTGTATTTTATTGCAGTAAAAGCAAACAGTATTATGACATTGACCGTTAAAATGTCATTTAGAACTAAAATTTTTTAAAAAAATCATATTTTCTCCCATTTTTTTCATATTAAATTATGTTTCATAGCTAAATATTTGATATTAAATGAAAGCCCCGTTTCCCCTGAATAAAATGATATATAATAAGGGTGGGTGTATTTACTATGAAAGAGATGAATAACGGTTGGACAGACATGTAGCACAAATGCCAGGTTTTGTTTACATTTTGTTTTGTTCACAACGTGTACATTTGGCTCCGTCCTTAAGGGGTTAATAGGAGCCCCCGGTAATAAAATTGGAGTTATATATATATATATATATATATATATATTTGTGTGTGTTAATATTCATTGCTATACTGCATGCATGTCACTTTAATATAGTTATAGAATGAATTCACATTGTGTTTCCCCATTTAGTTGGTAGAGACTTTTTTCTTTTTTAATTTTTACTAAATTGCTCACCATTTTTATTGTTTTTTTTTTCTAATGTATCTATTACCATGATTTTGAATGTTTGCAGCATTGGATATATTTTTACAGTGACACTTTAGCTATATGTGTTTACATATATTGTTTGAGATATTTGC